ACCGAGCCACTCCAAGCACCTCCCCAGCGAGCCACTCCAAGTTCCGACTGACCAAGCCACTCCAAGCACCTATACCGACAGGGCCACTCCAAGCACCTATGCTGACGGAGCTACTCCAAGCGCCTATACCGACCGAGGCACTCCAAGCACCTATACCGACCGAGGCACTCCAAGCACCTATACCGACTGAGCCACTCCAAGCACCTACCGACCGAGCCACTCCAAGCACCTACCGACCGAGCCACTCCAAGCACCTACCAACCGAGCCAAACCCCTACACCACTCAAATGGGAGGAAATATGGTGCCAACCATTATTCGGCCATCCACAGATAGTGGATCATACGGGTCTTCCTTTCTACCTCGAGGGTAATGCCAAGTGGAAACGATGGGTGCAGAAGGGGATTTACAAAGTCGGGGATTTATGGGACAGTTCCACTCGGTCATGGCATTCCCAGGACTGGCTCATGTCCGACACGGGCCCGATCACAAACATGGCCCAAGGTTTACAAGAGATCCAAGAGTCCATCCCTTTAGCTTGGGTCCAAACCTTGAAAATGGACCCGTTTTTTGCACAGAATGACTGGGTAGTGAAGAACGATTCCTTGGCCCTACCGATGGTTCTGTACAATGTTCAAAACACTGGGGACCACCATGCCACACTTCATGCATACTGTCCTACTATGCCAGGAGCCAGATGGTCGACACTATACTGACACGAGCAATTGGACACGCGGCTGCCACTGTCCTCCCTTGTTAGAATCAGGGTGGTGGGGAATCAAAAGGACGGCCTATTCCAATATGAACCCTCCACCCCGCTGCACCAACTCCCTTTCGACCCGTCGGAATGGGAATGGACATGGGGAGGGTCTCAAACAATGGCCGTGTGGCAATACACTGTCAAGAAGGGCTATAGGGCAGCGCGTAAACCGATTATGACCGAGGATCAGATCGCTAAGCGCTGGGAGAGAGACTCCCCACTGGGGCAACAGGACTTCAGGAACTTCCGCTGGTCTGCATTTTCTCACATTCGGCCAACCACTCACAGAGCTCTTCAGTGGCAAATAATACACAGGTGCCGACCCACTCCGGACTGGATTACATCACGATCTGACCTGGAGGAAAAAGGAGTCTTGTCCCCATTGTGCTCCTACTGCTCCCATAGGCTGCATAACAAAAGAGCCACCCTGGAGCACTGCTTGTTGGATTGCCCTATGGTGGTCCAACTGTCGAGCTGGTGGGATGCAGCGTGGCACTACCTTACGGAACAACACCTCCCCTGGGAGGTGTCCACCCTCCTCCTAGGAACTCCTCAGGGCGGGGCCGAGAACTGGTCTCCGTTTACGACTAACCTGTTTGCATATTGCAGACTCACCGTGCTCATGGCAGCCTGGAGGATGCGCTGTTCATATGAGAGAAAACAGCACAATTATGGCTACATGCAAGCCCGGTCAACGATAATAGACACAATCACTGCCAAAACTCACTCGGCTTGGAAAGAACCACAGAACCAGTTGGCCACTGAGCAGGACACTGGGAAAAGACTGGGTCTGCGGAACAGATTTGCTGAAACTTGGGCTGATACAAATAACTTTTGGATAATAAAGGCTGGGCTTTCCTCCTGACTCTCCCCCCCCCCCCCCCCCCCTACCATCTCCCATCTATTCTCCAAATATGATTACTCCAAATCCTTCCTTGGCCATTACTTGCTGCAGTCATCATCATCTCATCTTTCGCTGTAAACAAGTTATGATGAACAGGGTTGAATTCTTTTCCCCAATCAGTGCTTAAAAAGGAAATTCGAAGAAAAGGATTGGAGGTTAAAAATAAAAAAACAGGGAAAAATAAAGCAATCCATTTTGTGAATCATAAGAGGGGCACTGTTGCAACTTTCAAGTCAGTTTGGATTGTTATATTTTCATCCAGTTGTTGGGATTACTCTTTGCAAGGGAAACTGAACTAAGTGGCACTGAAGTTGGATGGTTTCCTCCTTTTTTTTTTTTTGGGTGAAACCAATTTGCAAGCCAACTATCGCAGTGGTGGTGAGAGAACCGCCAGAATTGAGGGCTTGACCGTCAGGCTGCTCCATCTATTGGTGAGGAGCTACACCTGCTGGAAACCGGGCCCACCCAGCATCCCTTTAATACATCATTGCAATACAAAACACCAGTTTCATCCAGTTGGATGCATTCTGTACTCCTTGAATCATGGATTTTTATGTCAAACCAGGATGTTAAACCACCAGTAAATACGTAACAAGCCACAATTTTAGGAAACATACGGGACACTACAGGAGAGCGCAAATTCAGCCGACTAGAAACATTTCTACTCTATTTTGGCTTAACAGCCTTCACTGCCTACAGTCCCAATTCTCCTGCCCCAATCCATCTGTCCCAATCCTTCTGTCCCAGTTCTGCTATCCCAATCCTTCTGTCCCATTCCTTCTGTTCCAGTGGTCCTATCCAGTTCTCTTGCGGCTACTCACAACTCGGGACGTACCTTATACATCATGGCAATCCATTGGTCCCATAACCATAAACTCCAACGCAAACAACTGTGCAGTGCATCTTGGGGAGTCTGCGCCACCACTTGGGGTTTCGTCTTCCTGTTCTGATGGCTGATGATAGTGGCTTCTGAGTCTGGCAGGTTCTTCTCAAGATGAGGGCCACAAACCAGGAGGTCATTGAGCGGCACGAGAAAATTGCAATAGAGGTTGCAAGGACCCCAACCAATGCAGAGGAAGTCGTCCAGCTAAGGAGGTCAGCATTTCTTCCACATGACCTTTTTCTTTTTTTCCTTTTTTTTTTGGGAAAATTTTCGAGATTAGTTTGCGGCGTGCCCCTCTGACGGCCAACTTACCCTGTCGTGCCCCTCTGACAACGAATGATGTATCCAGAAAAACCCTGGTGTGGTTTGGGCCTGAAACATGTTTCATATGCCCCTACCGGTACCTCTCCCAAATTTCCAGTATGCCCCTACCGGATAGGCTGTTGTTGACACTCTCGGCCTTTCCCCTGGCCCTGGGAGAGGAGCTACCAGGGCATATCAGAAATCTGGAGACGGTCCCATCTTTCCGCTGTGTTCTCTCTCTCTCTCTCTCTCTCTCTCTCTCTCTCTCTCTCTCTCTCTTTTTCTGTTTTTTCCCCTCTCTCCTTTCCTCCCTATCTCTCCCCGTCATGCGCGTCACTAATTAGATGACGAGGCATTTGGCTTACTCCCGCCGTTTACCCGCGCCTGGTTGATTCCCTTCACTTAGAACACTGGGCAGAAATCACATTTCGTCAGTATCCGTCGGCTCCATGGCAGTGCTTTGTCGGATTCCCCTTGTTGGCGCTTCTCTCTCTCTCTCTCTCTCTCTCTCTCTCTCTCTCTCTCTCTCTCTCTCTCTCTCTCTCTCTCTCTCTCTNCTCTCTCTCTCTCTCTCTCACACACACACACACACACACACACACACACACACACACACACACACACACACGCTCACCTTCGCATGGCAGGCCAACGAGCTCCAAGGCAGCAAGCCCCAAGCCGGCTGCAAGGGCGTCACAGAAAGATGCATGCCCCTTCTGAGGGCATTTTGAGGAGGTACCGAGGAAATGCCACCCGCGGTCCGGTAAGGGCATAGCGGAAAGTTGTGCCCCATGCTGACAGGGGCCTGCAGAAAACTTCAGAGGCCCCAGGGGCACGACGGGGTAAGTTGGCCTTCAGATGGGTTCGCGACAAATTCATGGAAATTTCAGGGGCATCTCGAAAATTTTCCCTTCTTTGAACCGGCCGAAGGACCTCCGGATGCAGAACAACGAAAACGCAAGAACAAAAAAAAAAAAATGAAGAAGAAGAAGAAGAAGAAGAAGAAGAAGAAGAAGAAGAAGAAAGAAGAAAAAGAGGGAAAAAAAAGAACGCAAGAACGACGAGAACATTGAATTTCATGATTGAACAGTTGACACTACAGAGATCTCTGTTGTACATTCTGCATCTTTCTTTCTTTTTTTTTTTTTTGAAGAAAAGCTGTTGTGCAAGCCCTCCACCCTGACGGTGGTGAGAGAACTGTCAGGATCGAGGGCTTATCAGTCAGGCTGCTCCATGGAAGTCGAAGAAAAGCCGTTGTGTAAGCCCTCCACCCTGTTCAGCAGCCCCCCTGTTTCGTTGTTACTATGTCTGTCCCTTTAAACCCTATAAACCCTATACCCTCTCAACATCCATGTATACCACACTCGTGATCTTTGATGGTCTTTTTCTGGAAGCGCGGCCCTGTCTTTTCACTGCTAATTGCAGCGCAGCAGGCGTGGTGTGATTCCTCCAGCCCCTGTAGCAGGAGGCACCTTGCCGCCTTCGTTTCAGTGTTTGGAGTGTTGGTGTCGGTGGAGGCCCTTCGTGGCAGTTATGTCGGTTTTCGGCACGTCATCGAGCTGCTGGTGTTGGGTGACTCGGCTGGCTGCAGGGAGAGCGGGACCGAGGTAGACAACTGGGAGGGGCAGGGCAGGGGGG